GGAAATAGTGACTAGTCCAGACAGAAATACGAAAAATGCAGTTGGAAAAATAAGACCTAGTGCTCCAGTGAAAGGAGTAAGTTGGAATTTGGGAGTTGTTAGCATATAAGTGGTAGCTGAAATCACGAACATTGGAGGTATTTCAAAGAGAAAATATAAAGGTTCAGGGATTGAGATCATGATCTCTAAGATCTCAAATTATACTATGAAAATACATCCCCTTAATTAACAGCAAAATGATGTGTATACTCCCATTTCTTCAAAATTTTCAAAAAAATTATATGTGGTTATCGTACTAGGACTAAAATGTTAACACAACTATATCACTTTACATTTCAAAACTGCAGAAACAACCGACCTCTTCAGTATAATCCGGGGGGCCTAAATTCAAATGCCAGGCAGATAACTGAGTGGAACCAGCCTAGCATGAGACAGGAGTGAAGGAGAGCACAAGCCTAGTCTCAAGAAGGCACCTCTAGGGAAGGAGAGAGGGAGATGCCCAGGGAGCCTCGAGGAGGAGCCGTTCACCAAAACAAGGCTTGTGAGGTCTTGATTCAGGAACTAGTGCAAGAGCTTTCGAAGGTTCTGAGCTGGGAAAGCACCTGGAATCAGATTTGCACCTGCTGTTATGGCCCAGGTGAAAAACACCTCCACCACACACACAAAAACAGGACCAGGCTGAAGCTATGGTTAGGGCATCTCTCCCTGCTGAATATGATCCCAGGGCATCTAAGAACCCCCGTGGAATGTAGCTGGAAGGTCTAAAGTTGCCTTGGTCTGAAGGTCCCTCCCCTTTAACGCCTGCGAGGGGGACTATGGAACTCCGGACTCAGAACTGCTGCTCTCACTGTCACCCAGGCCACTTGGAAAGATAACCTTTAGCTGAAGTAATTTTTCCCCATACTATTTTTTAATGTATTATTTTAGCTAATATGATTTACTTATAATTCTTTGTTTTAATATATTTTATATATTCTTTACAATATGTCTTTTTACTGTATTTGTTTTATACTATTTTGTCCTTTCTAGTAATTTTTCTAATTTATTTGCTTTTTCAAAATGAAACTAGCCAGCTTTCTAATTATAAAAGTAATTTCTATTTTGTGTGTGTGAGAGGGGGATAAGTTTGTATATTCTCAGACAAAAATGTGAAAAAATATACACCAAACCTAATAGTTGTTGCTACTAGGATGTATGATCAGTTTATATTCACTTTATGTTTTTTTTTTGTAGTATCTGATTTTTTTTCTAAGTCAAATATTATATATCATTTTATAATAAAAAATAAAGAGTTTTAAAAATTAAAAAAATATATATATAGAAGTTGCCTTTGGCAGCTCCAACCACTGTTCCATGAAGCAATGTGGGCCCAGTATCACCAAGTCTGATTTTTCAAGACAATCTGGAAATCCAGCTATTATATAAAAATTTAGTTTTTAGATGATAGCAACAAATTCAAAATTTTTAAAAATACTCTGCCAACTGAATAAAGCCTCTACAAATGAGATTTGACCTTCAGGTGACAAAATTTTAGACCTAGGATAGGAATGTGTTTAATAGCCTAAATCTAATCAGTATAAGAAAAAATTGTGCAAGACTTTGGAATCTAGTGGATATTCTAGCTAGCTCATCCACCCGGGTCATCTCCACCTTTGTTTGTCTTTGACTAGGTTATGTTATAACCCTGTAGGAGATAACTTGTAGAAAACTGAGAGTCCTGCAAATAATTCCTGTCTACAGAAATGTATCTGGTAGCATGCATTAATTACTGCCCTGGGATAGTGACCAGTTTTGCATCATCTATAAATTCAACATTCCCTTATGTGACTTTAAATGTGTGGTGATACTTTGAGTTCTCTTGTGAACCAGTTGTAATATCTTACAAGTTCCCTCTGTAATTAATGAGTTCAGTAAAGTCTTTGACAGATTTTATACTTGTGTCAGAGATACGACTTTATCCTCTTTTAAAATTTATCCATTAACTTCAGACTACCAATTAGGATTACCCAAAGATTCTCCCTGTTTTCCCACCCCACCTAGGATTTCTATTTTTGAAGGTTTGTGATATTGCTGTAATGGGGGAAAGGTACAGATATCTGAGTGGATAAGCAAGGGAGGAACAAGGAAAGATATTTAAACCAATTTCACGCCACAGAACAGTTGGAAAGCCAATTAATTAAATTAAAGCATTAACATAAATTTTATCTCCACCTCTATAATTTATGCTCAGACCTCTTCCCCTGAAGAAAGGGAAAAGGAAGCAAAAAGATTATCAGAGAGCATCATATATACTAAGTAACGTTTCACGAACTTTTATCTTTGGGTTTATGTGCTAGATCATGATATGAAATGTATTTTTTAGTTTGAGTTGAAGGCAAAAAAGTTCAAAGCCCCTGATCATACTTTCGTGCTCACAGACTCCTTAAAAGAATTTTGAAAAATTATGCACCCCCTTGCATTTTTTAAGTTGACATATAAAACTTTTCAGTGAAAATTATAAAGGATGTAGTTTCTAGCATATTATATTTATATACTGAAATAAAACCATTATATCATTCTTTTATATTTTCCCAATGGAATCTAAACACCGTAAGATTTTAATATCTATCATCAACCATTTAAAAAATACATACACAAGTTCTTT